GGTTGCCTCCACGAGGATCGAGCCCGTTTCCCGGGAGCTCCGCTACCACGTTGAGATGTAACCTGAGCGCGCAGCCCCTCGCAAGGCGTACAGGAACACAGGCAAACACAGGTGTTTCTTTTGCTATAGGCGCACAGCTGTAGATCAGTACCCTGCTAGAACCTTGAGCAACAGGCATGCATACATGCAAGTGATACGTGAAACAGAGAGGCACCTGGATGTGTAACATTCAGTGTTTCGCCCCGGAAACATGCCAGGCACACCTTTACAACTTGTACGGGATATAGCCAACGAAGTGTCAATTGACAACTGAATGAATGGACAGTTGACAATCAACCTGCCTCCCCCTGTTTGCTCTGCCTTGCCAAAGCATGCCAGGCACACCTTGCACCCAGTGACATTTTGGCAACACTAAGCATATCCGGCTTGGACAGTTTCAGAAAAATCAACAAAAAGTCACACCACATGCCTCACAAATTTGGCAAGACTAAGCATATCCGGCTCGGAAATATTCAGAAAAATCAGCAAAAGGTCACACCACATGTCTCACAACTTTCACTTACGAATATGTTGTATCCTGTTTCGATGAGGTAACTTTCAACTTTTGAGGGATTGGTTTTTGGCCTTAAAACCCATGGATCCAAACATATCCAAACCCTCAGGATCCAACCGGCAAAACGAGCACACCGACAACAGATGGCCTGAAGTCGTTGAACATCCATGCTGGATTCCGAAACTATCTTGCTTCTAGGACATGTTACCCGCGGACTGAAGAATTTCACAACCCCGTCGTTGTTGTTTCGCAGCCGCATCAATTTGTTGAATCGCGGGTTGCGCAAGCGGATCTTGGCATCACCTCAGTAGTGAAGGACTTGGCGAGCAGGCACATGTGGTCAGTTATCATCTTGATATTCGGACAGAGAAGGAATCCTTGTAACTGGTGGACGCTGGACGCTTGCTTTTCTGTGTCCCCAAGGCTGGCAAAACTAGAATACGGGAGCAGTTTCAGTCACGTGATTAGTGATTCATGACAGCAACATGAACATCTTCATTAGTTATATGTCGGGTTTACAAACATGTTCGAGGTTGAGTACTTGGGATCTGGAAAGGATTAGAAAGAAAGGCTTATGAGTCCAGCACCATTTTAAAAATCCCGGGCCCGAATCCCTTTAAACTTTAAATTGAGCGTAGCAACCATGCTGTGGACAAGGCAACAGCACTAAGATGCGTTGGGTCCTGATGATTGCAGGCATGTCTCGCTGCATGCATGTCGTCACGTGCATTTGAACTGCTTTGACATAGTCAAGTGTGCCACAGGCTTTTTAAAGATTCCCTGCTGTGTGGAAAAGGCTTTAGAGACACCCTGGCCTGATCTTGGGCCGTGATCTAAACCCTGCACATTGCTAGATGCGCGAGTTCCCAAAAGCCGCAGATGCGCCTCCGTGATAGACTTGGAAGAAGGTCGATGTCCAATCTCTTGGGAGGTGGTTCTTAGTTTGACAAACGACTTTTGTAGGCTGCACGCAGACGCGTTTTTTTTTGGGCCAGGGGGCTGGGCCGTCCTCTGCTACGTACGGTGGTAGACTCTTAGTATGATTATGGTTGCTACTACTGTTATACGACTATTACTATTGCTAGTATTACTACTACTATGAGTACTACTACTATGAGTACTACTACAACTACTACTACTACTACTACTACTACTACTACTGCTACTGCTACTGCTACTACTACTACTATTACTACTACTACTACTACTAAACTACTACTACTACT